AGAATGATATTCCTAGACAAAAGCCAAAGACATAAAATGAATAGATATCTTTAATAATCCAAAAGTGAAGCAAAGATCTTATACAAATTACTCAATCCGAAAGAAGACAGGACAGGAAAAAAAAAAAAAAAAAAAAAAAAAAGAAGGCAAGAGCAGGTAAGGCAAACCAAAGCAAATAGCAAAGGGTAGACTTAATCCAATCATACTAGTATTTACATTAAATGGAAATGATTTAAATCCTCCAATTAAAAGGCCAAAGTATTAAGACTGGATGCAAAATAAAGATCTAAGTATATGTTATTTAAACACACACACACAGAGACACACAGACACACACACACTCAGATATTAAGCTGGGCGTGGTGGTATACACTTGTAATCCCAGAACTTTGCAGAAGGATCACTTGAGCACAGGAATTTGAGACCAGCATGGGCAATATAGTGAGACCTCATTTCTACAAAAAATTTAAAAATTAGTCAAGCATGTTGGCATGGGCCTAGAGTCCCAGCTACTCTGGAGGCTGCAGTGAGATGATTGCTTGAAGGTGGAGGTTGCAGTGAGCTGAGATCATATCACTGCACTCCAGCCTGGCAATGGAAGGAGACCCTGTCTCCAAAAAAAATCACACATTAAAATTTTAAAAAGAGAGATGAAATAGATGATGGTATAAAAAAAATACCACACAAACACCATTAAAAAGAAAGTTGGAATAGCTATATATATATATATATATATATATATATATATATATATCAGAAAAAGTGCACTTCTGAACAAGGAATGTTACCTGGAATAAAGACGGACATTTCACAATGTCAAAAGGCATCAACTTTTCAAAAAGACATAGCAATCTTAAATGTGCATGCACCTAACATCACTGCTCAAGAATACATGAATAAAATCTAAGAGAAGTGAAAGAAGAAACAAAGTTATAGTTTAACACTCTCAGTAATTTAAAGAAAATGTAGATATAAAAACTGTTAAGGATAATTGACCTATATAGAAGTTTTCATCCAACAACTCCAGAATACACATTATTTTCAAGTGTACATGTAACAATATACAAACTGAACACTATTCTGGGCCAAAAAACAAATCTCAATAATTTTGAAAAGGTCTGAAATAATACAAATTATGTTATCAGGCCAATTTAGAATTAAACTAGGTACCAGTAATAGTAAAGATAACTTGAAAATTCCCCAAATATTTAGAAACTAAACATTGTACTTGTAAATAATTAACCAAAGATAAAGATTATATTAAACCAAGTGAAAATTAAAACATAACATATAAAAATATGTGGAGTGCAAACAAAGTAGTTCCTAGAAAAAAAACTGTAATGTAAAGTCCAGTATTAGTAGAAAGAAAAGATAACAAATCAATGATTTAAGGTTTCACCTTAAGGAACTTAGAACACAAGAGAAAATTAAGGTAAGCAAAAAGAAGGAATGTTCTTTTCATACAAGTTGTTAAATTTATTAGGCAAAAGTTGTTCCTATTATTACCACATTATTATTTTAATGTCTATAGGATCTACAGTGATGTCCCCTTTTATTTATAATTTTGATTACTTGTTTCTTCTCTCTTTTTTCTTGATCAACCTTTCTAGAATATTATCAACTGTACTGATCTTTTCAAAGAACCACCTTTTGGGTTCCTCTAAAGTATTTCTGTTTTCTACTTCATTGATTGTGCAAACTCTTTTAGAAATTATGATGATGGAATACTTCTGAATCCATTTCATGAGGCTAGCAGTGCCTTAATACCAACATCCCGACAACAACACTACAAGAAAAATAAGTTCATACCAATATTCCTTATAAACATAGATCCAAAGTCAAAGTCATTAACGAAATGCTAGCAAACAGGATCACATAATTTTAAAACGATAATCCCCATGGCCAAGCAGGATTAAGCTGAAGCTCGCAAGACTGGATTGATACTTTGAAAATCAATCAGTATAATTTGTCATATTAACAGCTTAAAAAGAAATATCATGGTCATCTCAATAGATGCAGAAAAGTCGTTTAACAAAATTGAACACATATTCTTAATAAAAGCTCTTAGCAAACTAAAAACATGAGGGAGCATCCTCAAACCAGTAAAGAGCACCTATAGGTAAAATATGGCCAATATCATTTTCAATTGTAAAAGACAATGCTTTCCACCTAACATAAGGAACAAGGTAAGGATATTTGCTCTCACCACTTCTAGTCAATAGTTTACTGCAATAGGACAAGAAAATGCCACAGAAGTTACACAGATTGGAAAGGAAGTAGTCTGTATTTGCAGATGACATGATTATCTACAAGAAAATTCCAGTAAATGTACCAAAAAGTAACTAGATCTAGTAAGTTTAGCAAGATTACAGTATAGACGGTTAATGTATAAAAATAATTGTATTTTTCTATTCTAGTAATAAGGAATTCAAAACCGAAATGGAGCATAGTAGCATTTGCTTTTGATCAAAAATATGAAACACTGATAAATTTAACAATATACATGCAAGGCTTACATATCAAAAACTACAAAACATATCTGAGAAAAAATTATAAAGACCTTAATAAGTGCACAGTTAGTCCATGTTCATACATTGGAATAACTAATATTTTTAAGGATCGATTTTTCCCAAATTGATCTATCAATTCAATATAATTTCAGCCAAATCCTAGCAGGCTTTTTGGTGAAGAACTGACATGCTAAATTTGAAAGTTATGTGGGAATGTAAAAGAGCTAAAGTACTCAAAAGACATTGAAAACGATAAATGAAGTTGGAGAGTTTACAATACCTGATTTTATGACTTGCTGGAAAGCTACAATAATTAACGTATTAGCTAGTATTAACATAAGAATAGATCAGTGAAGCAGAAAAGAATCCAGAAATGTACAAACATGTGCATAGTTGATAGATTTGGACAAAGGAGGCAAAATAATTCATTGACCATTACCTGATATATAGAAAAATTAATATTTAAAATGAAATACAAATCTACATTTGAGAGCTAAAACTATAAAGCTTCTTGAAAGAAAACATGGGAGAGAAATCTTTGGACCTTGTCTTTCTTGGGGAGAACATGAAAGTAGGCAGTATAAGAGCAAAAGAAAATAAGCTAGCATTTATAAAAATTAAATGAAGAAGGTAAGTAAAAAGCAATCTATATGAATATGTTAAAGAACTTGTATCCAGAATATATAAAGAATTTTTGCAATGCATTACTAAGAAAACAAACTCAAAATAGAAATGGGCATAAACTTTGTAAACATGTCACAAACAAAGATGTATAAATGGCAAATAAATAAAATGATTCCCAACATGATTGGGCATTAAGTAAATGCAAACTATAAAAATACACATGCAGCAGAATTCCTAAAATTAAAAAAGGGTTAAAATTTCAAGAATTGGCATAGATGTGGAATGTTCTTATGAGAAAAAGAGAAAACATTTGTCTATAAACTTGCTTTTGACTTGTATGTTAATGTTCATGGCAAAATTATAACCCCAAATGCCCCTAAAATGGTAAACAGATAAGCAAGTCACTGTACACTATACAAATGGAATATTATTATATTGTTGCTGATGTATGCAACAATATGAATGAATCATCAACATATAACACCAAGTGAAGGGAGCCAAAGAAACAAAAAATCCCCCCTCCAAAAAAAACCAGACAATGATTCTATTTTTATGAAGTTGTAGAAATTGCAAAATTACTATGCTAGAAGGCAAAATAGTAGTTGCATGGCGGGTGAGGGGGACTTGACTGCAAAGGGGCACAAGGGATGATTACACCACTGTAATCATTGGTTAAAATTCATTACGTTAAGTGGGTAAATTTTAATACCTCAAAAAAAGCTGATAAAAATCCAAAGTCATCATCTTTCCCTCCTGAACTTGCTTCTCCTCCTATAATTCCTATAGTTGTAAAGGGTACTTATCATCATCTACCCCATTGCAAAGCAAAGCCTTGGAGCCATCCTTAAGCCTTCTCTTTCTGATTCCCCAACTCAATGAGTTCATCAGGATGTATCAGCTTGAGTTCTAAAACATAACTTGCCCTCTCTAAATATCTTCATTGATGCTCATTACCTGGGTCCAGGCTTCTGGCATCTGTCATTAATATATTCTTCAACAGCCTTATAAATTGTTGCCTTTCCTGCTGATGTCAGATAGATTTCTCTGGACATGACTCTGGCCATGTCACTTTCTATGGTCTACCAATGGGAAAAAATGATTTTTCCAAGCTAAGTGTTGTTAAAATGACTCTTTAGAATGATCTCAGCTACTTTCTAAACCAGAAACCTAGTAATATTAAGGGGCAATTTCTTTTCTTTTCTTTTTTTTTTTTTTTCTTGAGGCAGCATCTCACTCTGTGCCAGGTTGGAATTGAGTGGTGCGACCTCGGTTCACTGCAATCTCCACCACCGGGGTTCAAGCGATTCTCCTGCCTCAGCCTCCTGAGTAGCTAGGACTACAGGTGCACGTCACCAGTCCCAGCTAATTTTTGTATTTTTTTAGAGATGGGGTTTCACCATGTTGACCAGGATGGTCTTGATCTATTGACCTTGTGATCTGCCTGCTTCAGCCTTCCAAAGCGCTGGGATTATAAGCACGAGTCACCACACACGGGCTTAAGGGGCAATTTCTATAGATTTTTGAAAAAATAATTCATTTCTCATCCCTCATACTTTGCAGATGTATTTCCTTGTGTCTAGGTATGAGGTTACAGCTCTTTTCTGGCATTATTATAGAATTTTTTTTTGTTTTTTGTACCCCCCTTTTATTGTAGATTTCATGGACTCAGCTGCATAAATGTGTACTTACTTCATCATCTTTCCTACAAGTAAAATGTAAGCTACTGATCAGTATCTGAAATCGCATTATAGTAACAGTTCGATATTTTTGTAATAAAATATTGAATTTTGAAATGCCCAAAGATAGAGCTCTACAAAACAAAAATCTCTCCAAAAACTTATCAGAGCAAAAAAGTGGTTCACTCACCTTACAACCAGTGGTAATGCTGTGGCCCCAGGTATTCGGTGCACATTTAGAACATTTCTCTCCAACAGTATTGGGAGGGCAAATGCATCGCCCAGTCTTTGGGTCACAGTTATTACCCAGATGAGCACACTCACAAGCTTCACAGATGAAAGAGGAAAAACAAACAAGGGGAAAAATAGTAAAAAATGTTATATAAAGTGTTGAGTTTTATATTGTGATGGTTTGTCTTATTTTCTTTTCACTTCTGTACTTAAGTTTAGTTGGAAATAAAAATTCACCTCATTCATCCTTTTTTTTTTTGAGACAGAGTTTCACTCTTGTTACCCAGGCTGGAGTGCAATGGCGCGATCTCGGCTCACCGCAACCTCCGCCTCCTAGGTTCAGGCAATTCTCCTGCCTCAGCCTCCTGAGTAGCTGGGATTACAGGCACGCGCCACCATGCCCAGCTAACTCATTCATCTTTTATATCATAGTACAATGCATTTCACAAAGGAGCTGTTCAAAAAATATATGATGTATTTCATTTAATAATTTCAAAAGTTAAAGTATTTTTAGCTTCCCTATGAAGTTTAGGAAAGGAAAGAACTGGTGTTATCAGATTCCTCGATAACTGTAATACCTTATGTCCAGATCCTATAAAGTTTACTATTTTGTTTGTATCTTTAAGTTTATTTCTAATTTGTCTGTTCTGTACCAATTAGTTTTTCTTTGTTGTCAACGAGCCTGATCTGCAGTAAAAACAATAAGCTTAAATAAGCTTCTTAAATTCAGTACATCATGTATATAGTTAGAAAAGCACACATCAGGATATTGCAATTTTACAAATACTTTAAAATAGTTGAATTACAGTGTTTACATATAAAGATACTTTTGATTTTTATTTACCACCTGACTTTTTCTATAGATTTTTCATTTTTGTTGCTATCATGCAACATTCAAAAACTACAAAGTTATCTACCTTTTGTCCTTTTTCAAAGACTCCAAAAATAATGTTTGGGAAGATCTTCAAAGCCATCCAAGACAAGGAATGCATGCCACATAGTGATAGTTGACCCAGCTACTAAGAATATTTTTGTGCAGCATTTCATATCAAAGAAATGTAAGTGACAGAAGGAACCCAAATACTTGAATTCAAATGGAAGACTAATGTTATGAGTAAACTTTTTATCAGTTATATGATGACCGAATCATTTCCACTGAATATATTTAGAATATTTGACTAAATTCACTTTTTATGAGATTGCTCACAGCATTACATACCAGCTATGAAAGATGTTTAGAAAAATACTATACACAGAATAAACACTAAATAAATGTTAGTTATTGTTGTTTTTGTTATTACTGTTGTTGCTAATTTTAAGCCAAATGATTTATTTTAGATGTGTCATTCATTAAGAAGAAAAATAGTTACCATTGTGTTTAAATTTATATGCTAAAAAAATGTCATGGGACAGTCCACATCATTACTTGCAAATAGAAATTCTCTTGAACAGTTCTTCAGTGGAATCATAACACTAAACAGAGAGGACCTGAGTAATTAGCTAGTTTTCTTGTGCCAAAGCACAGTGTATACCACAATTAATAAAACTAATAAAGATAATAATGATAAACGTTTCCATAGTACTTATATGCTAGGCATTACTCTAAATATTTTATAGCCACTAACTCAACTAATTGTAACAAAAACCGTGTGTGGTAGATATTATTAATATCTAATTTAATAGATGAATTTTGCAGATGGAAAGTGAAACAAAATCACCTAGTCAAGGTCCCAAAACTAGTTACTGAGGGAGCCATTAGACACTTCCCAGCTGTTCTGTGCAAGTCATATCCACATCCATATCACTATCCTGCCTGTTTAGTGCTTTTTTTTTTCCTATGGTGTTTCTTTGGGTTAGAATGCTAGTAGCTCTGCATTTCTTAAATACTGTCACCAATATATAATTTAAAATAATATTCTTAACTCATTTATAATTTGTTAGTGTATGTATTTAAATGTATAATACTACCTCATTAATTCATATTAAGTAAAAATGTCAGTGAGCTTTGGATTTAAAGAACAGGGTATATTTTAAAATACAGCTTCATAATTTTTAAGAATATATAGATATTGGCTAAGAGATATATAGATTCTTAGAGGATCTACAATTATAACAATTAGCATAACTTATCATGGCTTAATTTATGGTAGAAATCACATATCTAAAGTACTGGAGAATATCTGAAAGATATTGGTTCTTTAAATAGTTTTAAATATTATTCCTACTGCTTCTTACATAAATTTGCCACAACAGTGAATAATAATGTTTTAAAATCTTACCGTAGTGCTGAGAGTATGTGAGTATCATCCAGGATGAATCAATGAGGTTAGTAAGCAAAGATGATACTCAACCTAGTGATTGTTGAAATAGGGGTCAACTCAAAATTAATGGCATATAAATCAAGGCTAATGTTCAATCTTCACTTTCATCTGTAGCATGCTAAGTGATATTTTCTTAGCTCATGATTTGGGTGAAGGCTGTGGCCAGATGTATAAGCACACTGCTTGAAGGAATCATGGTTAGAGACCTCTGTCTGCCTTTTTTGATGAACTAAATACTCAGAGCCAATCTGTTTCTGTCTCAGAACATCACAGTTTTCAAGGCAGCCAAAAGTAGATCAAAACATGTTTTGGGGGTACCAGTAAAAAAAAACCAAAAAACAAAAAAACAAATCTTGACTTCCTGATCCTTATGCCAATTTTGCAATGGGACAAAGAGAAAGTTGAAATGCATCGGCATAGGGGAGGCGGGTAGAGCTTAAACTAAGATAAGATTGGTAGCAGAAAAATTGAACATTTAACTTTCAAGCTGTAGCAGTCTTTGAGTGACTGGCCAAATGAAAGTCATAGACAGGGAGGGACACAACCAAATTAGCATCTGCTGATTTTTATTGAGTACTTGCACATGATTATTTATAAGGCAGTGTTTCAAACTGCCATGTATTTCATTTGTTAAGTAATGTAAAATAAGTAATTACACATTATGTTAAATATGTTGTATCATATATTTGTTATCAATGATCACTTCTTAAAAGAGCAAACCGTTACAGAAGTCAGACACTAAAACTACCAGAGTGAAGATGTTGGACTTAAGTCTCACTTACAGACCTGTACAGCCTCCTTCTTGGAAGTTGAAATAGCCATGGGCACAGCGGTCACATTTCTTCCCTGTGACTCCAGGTTGGCACCAACATTGTCCACTCTCTTCACAGTCGAATGACTTAGACCCAAAAGAATTGCAGTTGCAGGGAACACAACCCCTTGCTGATTGTAGGCCAAAGGTTCCAGGCTGGCAACAGAAGAGGAGAGAAAAATTAAATTTAAATCCATTAACTCAAAGTGAAACAAGATGCACAATACCAAAGATCAGGTGGGAAAAGAGGAACTTAAAAGTTATCACGATTCTTCACTGATGTTATGACAATTGGGTTTTCATTTAATCAAATGGACATTTTCTATGATATCCAAAGAGAAAAGTTCCATTATTCTTCATCAAAATTAATGGCAGAATTAGGTGCTTCCTTTATTGTCGTATTTTCACCAGCCTCTCCCGGTACTTTTCAAGGTTCTAATAGCAATATGGAAAGGACTTATAGGTGGTATTTCTAGTCTTAATTTAAAATTTTACTTGCTTCATTCTTAGTCATCTGAATTGATTTTTTCCCGATCTTATGAACTCCTACTTGGTAAAAATAATTTCAACATTATTGACCGGCAGTGTAAAGTTAAAATAATTCTTTTTGCCCTAATATTTGATCTAATTTTATCACATATCCAAAAATACTCTGAATCATTACTATTGTATTCACATTATAAATATAATTTTCAGTTTATGCTTACACGGAACAAATAATTGGTTCAACAAACATTTGGTGTCTTGGGTTTCATTCTAACAACTGAAATTGATTGGTGAGAACACGTATTAAAGCATCAGATCAGGTAGGCAAAGGAAACTTTTATTCTCTGTTGAGTTGCATCTCTCTTATCTATCTATAACAAATCACCTTTTATGATCAAGTTTGCATTATCAGCTTTGGCTGACTTTCTTGAAATGCACGTCATCAGGTCTAAAATGACAATGTTAGAAAGTGCTAATGGATTAAAAAAATCACTCCTAGCAGAAAAATGAAAAACATCTATCCGGGTTAAAATACGTCAGGGTTATTTTTTAAAAAATATAAAGCATGTCACATTATTATGATATTTTAATCTGGAAAATTAGTCTCGGTAATTACTTCTTTGTAAAAATAATTCCTATTTTGGAAAATTAGACTTAATAATTGCTTCTTGGTGAAAAAAAAATCTTTCCACTTAATGTGAGCCACCTAAAGAGAAATGAATAAGCCTCATTGTATATTTTAGATATTATGTTAGTAGTTTAAAAAATAAGTTCTAAAAGTGAAATCACACTGAAAATTAGACTTTTCAAATGACTGTAGCTAAGAATAGTTTTATTTTTAGAATGTAAAATGGGTTGACTCAGTTTGACAGTCATTCTCATCTTTATATATACTGTTGGCTTTATTTTTATTTTTAGTTCTAATTCAGATTGCAGTAGATGATTAAAGAATAAAGCATGTAACCGTTCTAATAGATGACATGATTTTGAAATTAAATTCACCTATATAAAAATATTAATCATATAATATTATTATTGGTAAAAAGAAACTTACATAAATTGTATATACCTGACTTAGAGAAATAATCAGAAATTGGAACAATTGTTAAAGCAAAAAAGCATGCCAATTACAATATTATTTATCATAGTGATTAATTATGCAGGCACTTAAATGTTCAATGTTAAAAAATTGTTGAATAAATTATGACATTCACATTATGTAATAATATGTGAGAATTAAAATCCTGTTATGAAGCCGTTTTAATGATGTAAATATGCTTAGATCATAACATGAAATAGAAATTTTAAAACAATACAAAACTATATAAATACTACGTAAATTTCACTTACATACCCATAATGACACATATACCACCCAGATACAAAAACAGAAACAGAAATGCATAGACAAAAAAGACTAAACAATATATTAAAACAGTACTGAAAAATATCTGAATCATAGAAATAATACTTTGTATTTATCTTGATTTCAGAAATTGTCTTCCCTCATATATATATACTGATATATACACTCATATATATATATACACATACTCATACATATCTATATCTATATCTGACACACTCATATTGATATATGCATTAAAGGGGTGTGTGTACACCCCTTTAAATCAATCAAATATCAAATGAAATTCCAAATTATAGCTATCACTTTAAACATTCCAAAGTCAATTATGTAAGGAAATATACAAGAAGAAATGCCTCTACCTCACTTTTCAAATATTTAAATAATGTAGCTTTAAAGGCTAAGTTTAGCAAAATAAATACTACCAAATTTCGGTAATAAAATGTTTATAAATTTGATGTTCAAAAATTTATTTCGAAGGCTAAAGAAAACCCCACTAGTAAACAAACTTAAGGAGCAGATATTTGTAGTAAGAATTGAGATTAATGAGGTAAAATAAATACGAGAGATGGTGCCTGTCCAGACCCAGTGGGAAATTGGATGGATTCCCATGAATGTGTTTCTCTCAAGGTAATAAAAACTAGCATTCACATACTGTGCTTCCTTTTTGCAAAGCACGATTCTAAACCCTTTACAAATCTAAACCCTTTACAAATATGTACTCATTTGTTCCTCAGGACAACCCTGGCAGACAGTTGTCATAATCACCACTTATTTATTGAGTGGTGAAACTAAGGCACAGAAAGTTTAAGTAAGTTGCCCAAGGTCATGAGCTAATCAATTTTAGAGTCATGATTCCAGATCAGCTAGGTTGGCTTCCGACTTCGAGCTCTTAACTCTCATGCGTATTGCCGCAGTGGAAGAAATAGTCTCAGGACAAAATACTGCTTCATACAGTAGTACTGTAAGATATGTAGGGCTTGAATGAATGTGGATTTTCTGCTAAATATACATTTTGGAGACATTTTAATCAGTTATTATCCCTTTCTTTTATTGTACATCTAAGCATTTATTTTTGAAAAAAAAAATTTTAAAGATTTCTCCCTTTAACAACACTAGTATAATAGTACTCACGCCTAACTCTTTACTAAAACTCTCCAGGCTCCTGACTGATGCACTGTTCTCACTGCTACCCTGAGACAGTCTTGGAGGTGGCTCATCCCATCTACCCACAAGACAACCTGCAGCGTAGAATTTTACTGACTGAAAACCTCCAGTTTCTTGTCCTTTGGACCCACCAGAGGTGCTCTGCAATGGACTGAATGCCTATGTCCTCCCAAATTCATAAGCAGAAATCTTAACCCTCAAGGTGGTGGCATAGACAGGAGGTGGGGCCTTTGGGAGGTGGTTGGGTCATGAGGACGGAGCTCTCATAAATGGGATTACTGCACTTATAAAAGAGCCCCCAGAGAGGTTTCTCCACCATGTGAAGTTCCAGTAGGTAAATGACTGTCTAGAGAAAGTGGGCCCTCACCAGACAGGAAATCTGCACGCGTCTGGATCTTCGACTTCACAGCCTCCAGAATTGTGAGAAATAAATTTCCATTATTTACATGCCACTTAGTCTATGCTACGTTCTTATAGCACCCTGAATAAACTAAGAGGAACTTCCACAAGATCATCCTTCTCTCAGGCTGATTACAATAAGATACTAGAGCCTTCCTGCCCAATTCAGGATTCCTTTAATGGGTAAAAATTGCTTGGGTACATTCCATTGGCTTGGCCAAGAATTTAGGATTTGACAAAATGCACCAAACAAGGCTTTTTCTACCCAGTCTTTCTGTCTGTGTTTTCCTGGGAGTCAGAAACCCATTGCAGCAGAAGGCTATGCTCTCTCTCTCCCACTTCATGCTTCATTGGCCTTTCCCCCAGGAAATCTCTTGGCATTTGCTTCTTGGAGTATGTAAGCAGACATAAACCCTCTGAAGTGGATCTTACTACAGATGAAGAAGCTGAATTACAGAAAGATTCAAGGAATCTATAGCTAGGAAGTAATGAGGCCAGAATTTGATCTAAGGCAGTCTGACATCAAAATTTGTTTTTTAAAAATGTGTGATAATGAACCAAGAAATAAAACTATAATTTTTTTTCACTTTTTCTTCTTTTTATCTCCCCTCTCCTTCTATGGCCTATCCTCAACCTACAGGTACCCTACAGGTGCTGGCTGTATGCTGGCAAGCCTTGTCTCCTGCTCTTCTGCAGGTCAGCCTGGGACCTCTTCTTCCCTCCTTCCCTCTCTTCCCTCTTCCCCAGAATTTGTTTTGTTTCGACCTGTGATATGAGGACCACACTTTCGTAATTGGAAACAGCTTTCCCCATTTTGAGTATTTGTCCATTTATTGTGTGTGAAAATGTGTTTCTTGTGTTTGTCGTACACATAAGCACAACTGATGTGGAAATTAACAAAATTCTTAATTATGATAAAATGCCAGACAAATGGGCTGAGTTTTCTTGGGCAAATCACTTTCTTTTCTCGATTTTCCTTTATTTGTTCATTTATAAAATTTAGCTTTCTCCAAAGGATGTCTGAAGTCCCTTCCATTTCTAAGATTATAGGTTCTCAAAAGTAGATTTTTATTTCATTTCTGCATATTCATGGTTAATTGAAAGTTTGGTTAATTGAATATTCTATGATCCTATGAGCTTGAGTATGCTTTTTAAAGGATATGGACAGTTATTTTTAAAAGGGCAAGGGTTCAATTAGGAATTGTCTAAATTTTGCATTTGCGATTTGCACACTTAGCAACTGTTACTTGGTAAAATGCCACCAGGGAACTTCAGCCGCAGCCCATGGAACACGACATGCGGAGGCATGAGCCATGCAACGCCTCTGGGATTACCGGAGCTGGGGCCCGATAGGCTCCCCGAGGGCACCCGCTGGAGCCGCCGATAGCCCACCTCTGGGGAGAACCCAGCACCCGTTGCGCTCTCCGAGGCTGCTTCTCCTGTTGGTGCACCTGCCTGCCGAGGTTGCACTGTTTCCCTACGAAGCCTGATTTACAGACACATCTTCCTGTAATATCACATTGCGGTGACACAGAGCCAGCGGGATTGCAGTCACATAGCACACAGAATCGCTTCTCTGGGTCCCACCACATATTGGGCTTTAAAAGCCAAACAAAAAATAAAATGAAAACAAAACAGAGCACATGATATTATTCAAGAGATAGAAGCAGATGACATTTTCAAACTTCCTACAGTAAGGCCAGTTTGACATCAGAGAAATGCTTGCTTCTGCTTAACTGTCTTTATCAGGAATGCAATGTATTTGTGTGAAACAGCTAGAACAAATCTGTCCGCCCTCATGAGGAATCTGAAGCTGCTTGCCATAGGGAAAGCAGGGCAACTGGCAAGTTCAGGGACTGAGAACAACATACTCTATTTTAACTGAATATTTCAGTTTAGCAAAATAATGTACCTTAAAAAATACCTTGATTAGCTTCTCTACTGAAAACTTCTGTTAAGTAGAGTGTTCACAGTAAGCAGCTTTTAAATGATGGAACTACAAGAAGGTGTGTGCTAAAAAGCAAAAGTAGTAATATTTTATTCTGCCAAAAATGTAAAGGCAAAGGAAAGAGTATCTCCACAGATTAAGATTAAATTTGGCCAGGCGCGGTGGCTCACGCCTGTAATCCCAGCACTTTGGGAGGCCAAGGCGGGTGGATCACGAGGTCAAGAGATCGAGACCATCCTGGTCAACATGGTGAAACCCCGTCTCTACTAAAAATACAAAAAATTAGCTGGGCATGGTGGCGCGTGCCTGTAATCCCAGCTACTCAGGAGGCTGAGGCAGGAGAATTGCCTAAACCCAGGAGGCGGAGGTTGCGGTGAGCCGAGATCGTGCCATTGCACTCCAGCCCGGGTAACAAGAGCAAAACTCCATCTCAAAAAAAAAAAAAAAAAAAAAAAAAAA